AAGAAAAAAGATTTTATGTTTGATGCTATACAAGTAAGAAATATAATAAAACTAGTTATATAACTAAAGATATCTATTCGGCATGCACTCTAGTAGTTTTATTCTGTTTGAGTACTGTATATTGAAAAATATACTGCTTCAATTGATCAGGCTACTGTTCAAAGTATATAATAGTGATGATAACATGTTTTCTTGATAGTTGCTGGTATGTGAAGGTAGTGGTTGATTGATTGGATAGTTATTTGAATATATAGTAGTAACATTAATTATATAATTAAAGATGTTTATTCAGCATGCCACTTTAGTTTTAATCTGTTTGTGATTGGCTAGGCTACTGTCCAAAATATATAGTTGTGATTATACATGTTGCTGAAATTCGTAGATCCTTGATGCAATTGACGCAATTATTTGACACAATTAATTGAGTTACTATTAAAACATATAAATAATTGAGTCATGACGCAATTATTTTTGAGAATTTTGGGAATTGAGTCAACAGCAAAATAATTTATACCACATGTATAGTTGTGATAATAACATATATTCTTGGTAGTTGATAGTGCATAGTGGTAGTGATTGATTGGTTAAATAATTATTTGTATATGATAAGTTTGGATGTAGTGGTTGTTTATTTGCAAAGTTAGAGTTGTGTTGTTTTTTAATTGGTGATTGATAGAATGTGTTTGTTGTTTTGATGTTTATTAATAGAATAAGGTTATGTGGTTGAACGGATTTCTATTTTTGGTGTTGTTTACATTGATCTTTGGTAGGTATAATGGAAATGTTTGAATATTTGGTAATATGTGATTGGTTAAGAATAGGATATTGATTAGTTGCCAAGGGCAAATTGATTGTGGTTTTTTGGAAAAAATTTTTTTGGACAAGAATTTTTGATTTTTTATGGTGCATTAAAATGTATTAAGTAATGGTAGAAGTTGTTTTTTGTATATACTAATGGTTTCCCAGGCCTAGGACTCCAAAAAAGTACCGAACTGATATCAAAATGATATCGAAATGGTACTGATCTATAGTAAATTTAATATATGGGTTGTGACCTATTCATATGTTTTTATAGTAAATTTAAGTATCGAACTGGTATCGAAGTGGTATTGAAGTGGTATCATTAGGAGCCCTACCCAGGCCAATGATATAAACAAAGTTGATATAAAAGTTTGTGTTTTGGAATAAAATAAAGTTCTCCAAGTCAAGAACTAGAATATGTAAAAGTATTTGTGTATTAATATGAAGTGTTTTAATAAGAAATATAAATGGAAAAAACCCTAAGGAAAACTTGTAAAGAAGCAACTGCCACGAGCCTTTTTTCATGCAATTCAAGAGAAAAGCAAGTTTCCCAAGCTTGCTTACTTCTGACCAGAGGTTCTATCTCAATGTATTAGTATACTTCTTTAGTTCTTTGAGATTTTTGATATTGAAAGTTAAAAAGGTATAGAGGACTTGTGGGTATTGGAAAATGAAAGAAATATTTTCTCTAATTTTGAAAATTACTATAAAAGAAAATTTTTAAGAAAAGTGTTGTATATGGGAAAGAGTTTTTTTATAATAAATAATATATTATTAATTAAAATTTTAGATTTTGATAATATAATTTTAATAATATTAATAATTGTTTTTTTAAAATAAATATAAAGTTTTTAAATAGTAATAATAAAAAATTGAAAATATTATTAAGTTAAAAAAAATATTTTAAAAAATTAATTTAAATTTTGAAATATTTGATTGTTTTAATTATATATACAATTTAATTATTTTAAATAAAAATTTTTAAATTATAAAGTAGATAAGAGTATTGTAATACAGCTACCAAATATAATGCAACAAACATATTATATTATTTATACTAGTTGAAATCTGATTTTTTATTATGCAAGATGATTATAATACATTAAATAAAATTATTTATAATGCCATATTCTACTTATATTTAAATTTTAATAAAAATTTAATAACTTATTATTATTATACTTGTATTATATACTTATTAGTTATATATAATAATTGATTAAATAGGTTTCTTGAAAGATTTTAATAAAATAGATAATGGTTTATAAATACAGGCTTTGTATAAAAATTTTGAAATATCCTTAGAGTAGTTTGTAACACTATTTCTAAATTGCATCTTTAAATTTCAATTTCTCTGATTATAAAACATGGCACAATTGCATATATAAGCTGTTTAGATAACCTAACTAATTAGTTACAGGTTTATAAAAGTTCATTTTAGAATAAATATACTTACTGTATCTTATAAATTAAATATATTCATTTTATCTTAAATAAAATCTTGTTGGTATTATATATAAATATTTTAAAACATGTTTTTATTAATAGATTAGATTGACCTGTGGGTCTATAGTGTAATGGTTAACACTCCACAGGTTAGATCACAAGATACCAGTTCAACCCCAGGTGAAGGCGGTTGAATCGTATTAAAAATAGTATCTGGGCCATAACCTATAAGAGCCCTGTTTCCTATAAGAAGTCATTTGCATACTAATCCAGTAAAACGATAGGATTGTGATTTCCAAGAAAGGTGTGTGGCGCGATGATTGTCTGGAAGTGGTACTATGATCATCAGACAAGATGCCAAGAACTAACTATACATTTGGAAGTATAGACTGGGCTGTACTCCATCTTAACTAACCCAGTTAAGCCTCTTCCACTGTTAACTACTGAAAGTAGAAAGCCTTGAAGAGAGCACCAATCAGGTGCCATCATGGGATGACACGGCTAGCCATGCGGCGAGACAGAGTACATAGGAGTTGCGCCCTGTTTGGTCAAAATGACCCCTAGATTTGGCAGCTTACGCCAACTGGTCTGAATCTGGAGTGTCTACTAGGAGTTTAAGAATCGATCCGTAGGTGGTATCTTGCAAATCCACATTTACGTAGATCCTTAAGGAGTCACATCCCACTTGGCCAAAATGGCCCCTAGATTTGGTAGTGTCCAACCAGCAGTCAAAACCAGAGCATTCACTAGGGAGTATGTGCTTGCGTCGAAGGTTCCCCTCTGCTCGTGTGATAGATTGAGAGAGGTATGATGTAAAAAGTAATCTATATAAGATAATTAACAGTATAAGCCCCTCATAAGCATATAAGCCCTATAGGTTAGGTAGTTTAAAACTAATAGTAGGATTTCTACCCCCTATAACCTTCTGGTATCACAAGAAAAGGTCATAAAGTGATAGGCTTCCAAGTACCAGATGAATAAAATTAATAGACTAGCATTTAGTTGTAATTATGTATTACAAAGGATGCTTGATGTAATGAATATATTGTTATCAATAAAGAATTTGCATCTAATGCTGTTTAACTTTAAAAAAAAATTTATTTATAATTAATATTAAGGATCTAAATAATTCTCTTTAATTCTATATTCAATTCTCAAGTTTATATTAAATTTAATAAATATAGTATACTTTACTGTTATTTTTAATAATGTTTTAAATCTTATATAATTCCTTGCAATTCTATTTGATTTTAATTTTTAAAACTATAATTAATACTATTATATTCTAATAAAATATAAAACAATTATAAAATAATATAAATTTTTTTTATTAAGTTTTATAAAAAAATTAATAATTTAATATTAAGTTAAAAAAAAATTTTTTTAAAGTTTATTAATTTATATATTGAAATAATTTGAATAATTAATTATTGTTATTTTTTTATAAATAATAAAAAAATTTAAAAATTTAATTTGATATTTCTTTTTAATTAAAATTTAATATTATTATTTAATGTATTTAAAAATTTTTTTATATAGTATATTTATATTTTTTATATTTTTAATTAAATAAATATGTTTTATTTTAATTATTTAATTATTATAATTAAAAATGAAAATTTAAATTACATCTCATGTAATGTAATGATTATAAACTCTTATTTAATAAAAGTCTTGCATTTAATGCTTATTTGTGATATATAAAAAATGAATAAATAAATTTTTAATTTTAGAGGATTTTTTTTTGTCCCAGGCTGTATATATTTTTTAAATATTATAAATATTTTATATAAATTTATTAATAAAAAAAAAGTTTATAACAATTAAATATTATTTCATTATGTTGCACGTCTTATATACTAACCACAATTGCCAAATATTCTTTAAAAAAATTATGCATCACATCATTTCGGGAAAAAGCCAACATAATATAATATTACAAAATCTATTACAATTACTGCACTGTGTGTGTACAGTTTTACGAAAGAGCTTACCGGAAATTTTTCGATTGGCTAGTGATAAATTTTATTTACACGTATATTTTGTTTAAAAAAAAAGGTTTTGCTTTTTCCAAAATGGGTTAAAGTGTATGCAAAGGTTTGGATTTGCGATGGGTTTCCCTTTTTTCATATTTCCGCAGATCTTATGCCTAATCGGGAAATTTTAATCATTAGGAGTTGTCAAATCCGAGTTGTTTATATCTTTTTTTGTATTCTGTACCTCAGTACTGTTACAAGAACTCATTATAGCGGGAAAAATAAGTTTTTTCTTCGAACTTTTCAACCATTTCGGTTGAATTAAAAAGATTATAATATTCATATATAACATTCATTCACTAAATTACTTTCAAAAATTTACCCACTCCCGCCGAAATCATGTAATATAAGACCGATACTAAAATTTAAACACGTTGAATATAATGGAAACGCGTTTTGTTTCCATGGAGGAAATACCATTTAAAAGGATGAGAAAAGAAAAAGAATTGCCTATTCCGTATTTGATGATTTCTTTTCTTGATATAATATAATATATATGTGCTAAGTTTTTTTTTGCGGTATTTTTTTTTTTTTTTTTTGTTATATTTACAACTGCTAAAATATACTTTTTGAATCGTCCTTTTTTTTTTTAAAAAAAGCAAAAAATCTACTAAAAATATAAGAAATTTCATTATGAATAATGAAACTGGTCACTGCCTAAAGAATATATAATAATAATCCACGTGATGATTTTAAAGAAAATACATGTTAATTTTTTTAGTACTGCTTATAGTACATTTTCGCTTTGAGGTCCAACCAAGGCAAAGCTGCTTCCAACTCTTCATCTTTGAAATTCTCTTCGCATACTTCCTGACAGCTTCTGTAAAATTCTGTCACATTGCTTCGATTTGTTGCTAGTGTTTCATCATATAGATGTTTATCTAGCTTTTTAAGCATGTATGCAAATCTCATGTCGCGTAAAGTACCAAAGGCCACAGGGATTTTATGTGCTTGTTTAAGTTCGGCCACAAAGTCTTCAAATTTGACTGTTGGTTTCGCATTAATGTTACGGGAAAGAGCAATTTGTTTCCGACGCTCATTTTCAGAATTTACAACGGACAGCACACAATCCACTCGAGTGTGAACCTCTTCTATCGTGGACATGCTTAGCTTAGGAGCTTTTACTCGTTGTTTATTACTGAAACGGTTGTTATGATGATAGCGATCTTGTAAAGAAGAGTTCAAATTATCATTATGCTCTTCTCTTGCAACATCTAACTTAGGCCTTTTGGCCTTTTGCGGAGTAAGTGATGAAACAAGGTCAGAACTGTTTCGGGATGAAGGTGGTGGGGAGTAAGAAGAGGTTGAAGAGCATGAGGAAAAAGATTTTGGTGTATGAACGGTAGATGCATTCCGATGTTCCTGGATACCATGCCAGAGTAATAGGCAGTTACCCCTGCTAATTTCAGAACCATTTTTGCCGCGAAGATCGCGAAGAAATTGTTCATTCTCGATCAGGAGAAGGATGTCGGGGTCGTCTATGTCATTGTCCAAAAGAACTGGTAATATAGACTCAAGTCGCACAGGTGACATAGCTGTAAATTGCATCAGCAGCCTCTTTAACCCATCTACAGGCGATATAGCTGATGATTCTTCCATATCGTAATCCTGTTCAATTAAATGAATATTTTTAGAAATATTTTTAGTCGTTTAACAGGTTGAACCTAATATTCTGTCAAAGCTGCGCCACGATATAATAAAAGTTGTAAGAACAATAAGTTCCCCCCAAAAAACAACGAAAGGACACACCGAACATGCCTCACTTCTGGTAGCGTACTCGGTCAACAAGTTGTCACCATAATCTGAATCTGACTTTGAATCCTCGTCCCGGTTCAAGGAAATTGGAGAATCCAAGGGTGTTCTATATGATTGATGCTTTCGTTTTTTTCTATTTTTTTTAACAGGGTCATTCCTTTGGGTCGTATTTATGGTTAGAAGGGCTCGCTGTGGTCTGGTATCCATTGCATCAACTGTCGCGTCTTCGTTTGGACGGACAACTGGCTTCGGCGATGGAAGCGGAGTGTGCATGGAAAGCGGCGTTGGTACACCAGAACAAAACCGTTCAAATACAAACGTTATTGGTTGCTGAACATTTACTTGTAACTGTTGCGTAGAGGGTAGAGGGAGTGGTGTCGAAGTAGGTGTTGGGTGTATAATGGAACCAAGGGGATGAGTCGGCCCGCCGGGCGGCATGGAAAGATTCACCGCTTGTGTGTGCACAAGTTCAGAGGTGGTGTGAGACGTTCTGGTCGTCTGTTGAATGGACGGTGACTTATGATGAGTATCTTCAACTAAAGACACATTATTGTTTTCCATTTGCACTTTGGGTATAAGAGGAAGTTTTTCTGAGAAAAAAAAACCTCAAAATTTTTTATTTGGGCAAAAAAATCAGCCCTTTATTTTTTTTTTTCTGACCTATGACAATTTGACAATTTTATATAAATTTGTGTCATCTTTTTCATTCATTTTTTTCTTCTGGGGTTAAGGTCTGGGAACTCAATTCTATTACATCGATCCACAGAATTTCACACGCAGACACAAAAAGAAAGACAGGTTGTGCGAAGGAACAATGAGAACGCCCATCAGCAAGTCGTAAGCATGACAACCCAGTGACGGCAAAGTACACAACGCCTCCGGAAGAAATTTTTCTATATCAAAAGTGGTATCTTTACCGATTGGTCGCGAATTTTTCTCGATGATGTGACACGTACATTTATTGTGGTCAAAATCACGAGTTATAAATGAGAAACTAGTAATGATCAGATGATTTTTGAGTATAAAACGTGAGGAACGTTGGTCATAAACTCAACTTGGTAGTTCGTTGCTTGAATGGTAAATTTAATAGTTTTGAATGATTATAAACGCCGTTCTGTAATATCAATAGTATCAATCGCAATGTAATACAAATTTGTAAATCATTTGTTCGAATTTGTTATAAAAAAAAATAATAATTAATTTTTTATATCTTTGAAAAAATTCCTTTTAAAGAAATTATTTAATAAAAAGAAATCAAAAAGAATTTTTAATATTTTTATAAAAATATTAATTTTTTTTTAAAACCATATAAAACAATACAAATAATTTTATTATAAAAATAATTTTTCCTTTAAAAATATTTTTAAATATTTTGATTTTATAAAATAATTGCTTCAAGTTAAAATCTTTAAAATTTTTTAATAATAAAAAACTCTGGAAATTTTTATTTTAAAAAAATTTAAAAATCTTCAAAGTAATAATTATAAATAATAATAATTATTATTTTGGGAGGGTTATTCCAGTAGATAAACATTATCTTTTTATTTGATTTGTATATATCATAAAAAAAACAATATCTTTTGGATGTATTGCATATAACAAGTTAAATGCTAACTTGCCTACTTGTATCATATTTAACTAATATTATAAAAAATTTTAAAAGCAATATTAAAATATCAAATATGGAAGTAGGAGCTATGCCTACTTACTTGAAAAGTTGTTTGGTAAAATCTTTTTTTTGAATAAAAGAAATTGAGAAAAAAAAATTAAAAGTAACTAAAACTAAAACTTCATCAAGTAAACTATAAGATCTATAAGTAGAAAACTAATTATTTTCTCAAGAGAATCCCAGATGTACTCATTGTCTTATCTCTTCAGCTCTTCAATTACTATAGATAGTAGAGTACACATAATGTTGTTTGTTGTTAAAGTTGTTATAGTATAAAACCAATTTAAGCTGGCATGGTTTTTGTTTTGATTTTTATATAAAATCTGATTGGATGATTGGAAGACACTGATTATCTGGAAGGAATAAACTGATTTTAGTTTTTTGTTTGAAAAATTTTTGAACTTTGGAAATGACGCAGCAAGTATTATTATGAAATATTATATGTAAGAATTGACTTGAAACAAACAATAAATCTATTAACTTTATTTAAATGTATATTTTGGAAAGTGTATGATTTAGTGAATATGATAGTAATAATATAAATAGTTTTTAGGATATAATAAGGGTAAGGAGGGATACAAGAGAACTGAAAAAAAGAAAATCACTATAGGCCTTTCCTCATGCAATCGAAGGATAAGCAAGACTCCCAAACTTGAATAAACTTCAATCAAAGGTTCCATCCCATTGCACCAGTTGTCTTGAAGATTCTTGAGTTCTTGAGCTGAAGCTTACTTGCAATAAAGAGTATAAAATATTTTTTCTTGTTTAAAATTATCATAAAAGGAAAATTTTTAACAAAACAGATATGATCAGAAGAGTTTTTTAAAAAAATAAATAATTATTTATTTAAAAAAACCTTTTAAATAATATATATATATATACTATTTATATGTTTTAACAATTTTATTTTATTTTTTAAATAAATATTAAAGAGTTTATTGATTTTTTTATATAATATATATTATATTTAAACATTTGAATTTTAATTAAATTTAATTAGATTATATAAAGATAAAATTTTTAATTTTTTTAATAATTATAAATTAAAATTAGATTAAAATAAAAAAAGTTATATAAAAAAATATTTTGATTTAACTTTTATAAAAACTTATAGTCTTAATTATACATGTTTCCTTATTACCATAAAAGGAAATTTGATCAACAATACGATTCTGAATTAAATATTATTCCTAATTACTTACTAATTGTTACTTAGTAATATAAACATAATATAGTTTTTGAAAAATGTCTGAATTAAATACAAATACATGTATAGTCTTAACTAATATAGTAAACTTTATAATATAAAAAATATTTTAGTTTAAAGTTATTTTAATCTAATATTTATTTATTATTATTTTTTTAAAGAGCAAATAGTTTTTTTTATACTAGCTGGGTCTTGCCCAATATATTTTATTAGTTTATAATGTTTATATTTGTTGTTTACATTTAAGTTTACAATTTATGTTATAACTTTATTTCTATTTTTATATATTTGGCTATATCAAGTTTCCCAAATATCGACTTTGAGTTATTTGATTTATTCTTTAGCCTGAGCTATCGAAAAGTAATCAAAGACCAATGTATCAAGGCTCCACTAATGTTGGTAAATAATATGTTGGTATAATTGTTGTGTTCTATATTTCATTTATATTCTGCAAACCATTTTGTCATTTTTTCTGCTTATCTTTTTGCTATTTCTATTTTTTCCTCTATGTTGCATCTTCCTATTTCTTCAGCTTCTGGCCCATGTCTTTTATTGAAATATATGCTTTTGATATATAAAAATATATAGTACACCAATAAATATTACAGCTTATCACATTTTATAATTGCTAAATCCCCTTATCAAACTTTTTAAGACAATATCACATATACCCAACAAGTATTATACATATATGTTTATAGTTAACTTATCTATATACGACTAGCTATATATCACCAACTTAATATTATATATAAATACTACCTAAACTTCTGTTTTCGAAAAGATACGCAAATCCATCTTAATTTTTTTCAGAACAATTTTATCCTTAAGAGTAGTTTGGTTATCAGGCCATCGATTTTAGTATCCTGAATCCTAGTTTTCGGTCCTTCAAAGTGGTCCACAGTTTTCACTTTTCACCAAGGCTTTCCGATAGTAAAGTTTATGAAAGCTGATACAGCCAAGTGCTTGATTAGTATCCTTCAATGCAGCTGTTAGGAATCCTTCAGTGGTACTCTACTGGTTTGAGATTTATTTTTCTTATTACCACTTCTAATAACATGATCATGTCAGGATAATTCTAGCTTATTTCAGACGATGATCGTATCACAGTCCTCTTATAGACCAGTTTTTTCTATAATTGGAAGCATCGGTTATTTGGTTATGCCGATGGTATGCAAGTTCTCACATTATTTAAGGAATCACATTAGTCCCCTAGTGGATATGAACCTGGAACCTGTAATATAGACCTATGGCACTCTAACTACTGAGCTACAGACCTATAGGTTTAAAGAGCAAATAATTATTATATTATATTTTATTAATTATTAATTTAGATTTATAAAACAAGATTATAATTATTATTAATATAATATATATCTAAGAATTTTAATGATTTTCTTCAATTCTGTATTTGATTCTTAAATTTATATTAAATTTAATAAATAGAATATAATTTATTATTATTTTTAATAATATTTTGAATCTTATATAATTTTATACAATTCTGTTTGATTTCAATTTTTAGAACTATATATATATCTTTTTTTACTAAGAAGAATTTAATATAGAGCTCCAAAAAATATTAAACTAATATCAAACTAGTATTGAAATAATATTGATCTATAGTAAATTTAAATATCAAACAATATCAAAATAATATCAAAATAATATTATTAGAAGTTTTAATTTAATATAAGACTTATAAAATGGTTATATTTTTGTGTTTTTTAATATTACTTAAATAATATAATAAAAATAAATTCAAAATTTTCAAATAAAACTCTCTTCTGATTATATCCGTTTTGTTAAAAAATTTTCTTTTATAGTAATTTTAAGCAAGAAAAAATGTTTTACACTCTTTATCACAAGTAAGCCTTAACTCAGGAACTCAAGAATCTTCAAGACAACTAGTGCAGTGAAATAGGACCTCTGGTCAAAGTCAACACAAGTTTGAGAGTCTTGTTTACCCTTCAGTTGCATAAGAAAAAGTCTGTGGCAGTTTTCTTTTTTTCAGTTTTCTTGCATACCTCCTTATTCTTATCTTATCATAAAAATCATATACATAATTACTATCATACTCACTAAACCAAATACTTTTCAAAATTTATACTCAAACAGAGTTAGTAGATCTACTGTTTGTTTCAAGTCAACTTTTATACACAACATTTTCATAACAATATCTGCTGCATCACTTTCAATTTTCAAAAATTTCTTACCCAAATAACTGAAATCAGTTTACCCCTTCAGATGATCAGTGCTTTTCAATCATTCAATCAGATTTCACTTAAAGATCAAAACAAAACTCAAACAAGCTCAAACCAGTTTTGTATTACAGTAATGATCACAACAACAACAACAACCAATATACTACTAACAATTATAACAACAAACAACATTATGTATACTTTATCATCTATAGTAACTGAAGAGCTGGAGAGATAGGACCACGAGCTTGTTCAGGGCTTCTGAGGAGAAATAATTGGTTTTCTACTTATAGATTTTATAGTATATTTAATTTAGTTTTAGTTACAGTTACTTTTATTTTTCTTTTCAATTTTTTATATTTAAAAAATCAAAAGAATTTGCAAAATTTTCTGGGATGATAGACATAGCCACTATTTAGTCTTATATAGCATATTAATATTGATTTTAAATTTTTTTACGATATTAGTTAGATATTGATAA